CTCCTACAACTTAACAACAAAAATAACCCAATTTAAAAATAGGCAAAGGGCTTGAATAGGCATTTCTCCAAAAATGATACACAAATGACCAATGAGCACATGATGTCCAACATCACTAATCATTAAGGAAATGCAAATCAAAACCACAATGAAATATCACCTCATACCTATTAGGATGACTACTATTTAAAAAAAGGTACAAAAAACAAGTGTTGGCAAGGATGTAGAGAAATTGGAACACTTGTACTCTGTTGATGGGAATGTAAAATGATGCAGCTACTACAGAAAACAATATGACCATTCCTCAAATAATTAAAAATAGAATTACCATATAATCCATCAATCACACTTGTGGGTATATATCTGAAAGAATTGAAAGCAGGATCTCATACAGATATTAGCACATCCCGATTCACAGCAGCAGTATTCACAATAGCCAAGAAGTAGAATCAACTCAACTGTCCACTGATGGATGAATGGAGAAACAAAATGTGGTATATACATACAATGGAATCTTATTCAGTTCTAAAAAGAAAGGAAATCCTATCATGTGCTACAACATGGATGAACATTATATTAAGTGAAATCAGCCAGTCACAAAAAGACAAAATAAGTTGACCCACGAACAACACAGGTTTGAACTACACAGGTCCACTTACATGCAGATTTTTTATAAATACAGTACAGTACTGTAAATGTATTTCTCTTCCTTATGATTTTCTTCATAACATTTTCTTTTCCCTAGCTCACTTTATTGTAAGAATACAGTATATAATACAACATACAAGATATGTGTTAATCGACTATTTATGTTGCTTCCAATTGACAGTAGGCTACAAGTAGTTAAGTTTTTAGGGAGTCAAAAGTTATATGCAGATTTTTGTCTGCATGGGGGCTGATGCCCCAACCCCCATGCTGTTCAAGGGTCAATTGTAATGTATGGTTCTACTTGTATAAAGTATCTAAGTTCATCAAATTCAGAAGCAGAAAGTAGATTTTATTTTTTTTAATTCTTTTTCCTTTTTTTTTTAAAGATTTTTTTTTATTTATTTGACAGAGAGAGAGACAGCGAGAGAGGGAACACAAGCAGGGGGGTGGGAGAGGGAGACGCAGGCTTCCCGCCCAGCAAGTAGCCCGATGTGGGACTCGATCCCAGGACCCTGGGATCATGACCTGAGCCAAAGGCAGACGCTTAACGACTGAGCCACCCAGGCGCCCCCAGAAAGTAGATTTTAATATGTACATATTTAATATATTGTCTTTGACATAGAACCTTTTTTATTGTGGTAAAATATACATAAAGTTTACCATGTTCACCATTTTTAAGTGTACAGTTAGTGGCATTAAGTACATTCACATTGTTGTGCAACCATCACCACATTATATGCAGCTAAAGATTATAAGCAGATACCATATAATCTTTAATGATGAAGGTGGTATTACAGAACTAAAATAATCAAATAATATTAATTACTAACTGCTGAGCATCTGGTAAAACGACAGAATAATTGAAATATTTTCAAATATTCTATATTTACTAACAACTTAAGTGCCTTTTGAACCCATTAATTACCTTTTATATATTGGCTGCTGCAGAACTCCACTCTCCAGGATCGTGGCAAGATCACAGAGAACAAGCAGAGCACTGGCTGCGTAAATTGCTCTGCACTCTAACCCAGAGCTCCAGGAAAGGGGACTTTTCCCAATCCTCAGTTCTTGGTTTCTGGGGTTTCCTTCCAAGCAGTGACACCAGAGTAGACTAGGTGAGACAACATGGGACCAAACAGTGACTCCAAGCACGGCAGCAAGGGAAGCAAGACCAGCAGGATCGAGAAGCTCTCCAAGCCTACAGTCTTATTCTTTGTATGTGATATGATCCTCTCCCAAAATTCTCCAGATTTCACTCCAAGATGGAGCTAATTACACCCAATGTAGCTCTACCTCTCATTTCTTTTTACCTCCTTTTCTATGTGGTTTTCTCATTGCAATATTATTAATGTAAGGAACATGAAATGGGGCCTGAAGCTAGAGCCTTCTGAAGTGAATATGACCTTTAACTCCACCTGGTTGAATTCTCACCAGGTTCTTGACCACCTTCACTTATTTTTTTTTTAAGATTTATTTATTTATTTGAGACAGCGAGAATGAGAGAGAGAGCACATGAGAGGGGGGAGGGTTAGAGGGAGAAGCAGGCTCCTCGCCAAGCAGGGAGCCCGATGCGGGACTCGATCCAGGGACTCCAGGATCATGACCTGAGCCGAAGGCAGTCGCTTAACCAACTGAGCCACCCAGGCGCCCACTGACCACCTTCACTTTTATAATCAAAAGAGTAACAATCCCACAACACTGCCTGTGTGTTCTTTCCCTGTTGTGTCTCTCTCCAACAAGTCATAGAGAAACTGTACATTTGTTCCTGAATTTACTGGCTAACTTTTTTGGTTTCCATTAGCTAACCTTGATGGCTTTCCCTCCTTTATGCAATAATTTCACCTCATAGTTCCCCTTATGAACAGTATTTCCAACTTAACATAATAACCTAAGGAAAATGCTGGGCATAGAAAGAGAAATAAGGTAGGTTCCTTGCCCTGAAGGAATTCTCTGTCTAACAGCAGAGATAAACATATAAACAAGTAACTCCACTGACGTCTGAAAGGGAACTAGTAGAATGCACAGCACAGGGGAAGCCGTAATAAACCAGGCGCAGGGAGCAGGAAAGGAAATCAAGGCCTGGCGGCAGGAAACAGCAACCAAGATTCGGGAAGTGCAGTAGTACAGGAATGCCAAATCAAGACACACAAGAAAACCTGTGACAAGAGTGAAGTTTGAATGAGAAGAAAGAGGCCAGACTATGAAGATTCTTTGGTGTCAGGCTAAAGCATTTCCACTTTCTACAATATGCAACAAGATCCATTAAAAGACTGCATTTTAAAAAAATTTTTGTAGAATTAGTATATAATTGTAAAAAGTTTAGGTTATGTTTCATTCCTTAGTCTTAACAGTTTATTCTGTTTTATAGTTTTTCCTTTTCTTTCTTTGGAAATCAGGGTTTAGTTAAAATACTTAAAAAGTAAAATCAAATTGGGCGCCTGGGTGGCTCAGATGGTTAAGCGTCTGCCTTCGGCTCAGGTCATGATCCCAGGGTCCTGGGATCGAGTCCGGCATTGGGCTCCCTGCTCCTTGGGAGCCTGCTTCTCCCTCTGCCTCTCTCTCTCTCTCTGTCTCTCATGAATAAATAAATAAAATCTTTAAAAAAAAAAAAGTAAAACCAAATGAATCACAGAGTGATTGCCACACAACCACAGAGAACAGGACTGTTTTGCAATGAAATCCAGCTGTTTCTTCAAAGTCCAAGATGATTCTCTTTTTTTTGTTGTTCCTACACATAATGATAAAGAAAATATATTGTAAATAGATTAGTGTAAATCTACAAGAGGATCAGAATTTGTGGAAATGGATTTGTCTTGGTTTATATAACTTTCCTACTGAGTGTTTTATTTTCTTTTGAGAAGTTGGCATGAATACCCAGTGTTGGTGGATTTCTGTTCCATCACGTGGATATTAGTGTAAGAGGAGGTGGGGATTTCCTCTGACCCTTCTTCTTTGTCTGCTTCTTAACCTCCTTCCTGTGTTCAGGCAATTAGCTGCAGTTCTTTGCTGGATGCCCCTGACCAAACTGACAGAAGGCCAAGAGCCAGCATTGCCCATATCTGGAATTAATTTCGTATGTTTTGTTACTCAAGATAATCAAATTGCAGGTCTATTTCTAGATATTAATTCTTGATTGTTTTCCAGAAAATGAGGAATATTGTTGCAGAAAATAGTTGTTTTTTAAATTAATTCTGCTTGAACATAAAGAACATTTTCCCAAATAACACATCCTTTTCCTTTTACTAAAAATTGTACACATTGGACAGCTCTATAGTTTCTATAGATTTACCCTGCTTCAAAGGGATAATTAAACTGCATATCAATTTTGCATTTGAAGTTCCTCTACATTTAGGAATTTTACTTATTAAAAGAGAACTTATGGGGCATTTGGGTGGTTCAATCAGTTAAGCGTCCAACTCTTGATTTCCGCTTGGGTCATGATCTCAGTGTTGTGTGATTAAGCCCCATGTCAGGCTCTGTGCTGGGCGTGGAGCCTGCTTGAGATTCTCTCTCTCCCTCTGCCCCTCTCCCCATTCTTTTTCTCTCTCTCCCTCTCTCTAAAAAAAAAAGACCTTCTGGATACCTTTACTTTTTCAATTCCTTTCCTCATTTATATAAGTATTGCAATCAGTATTCTGCTAAGCAAAGTAAGTCAGAGAAAGACAAATATCATATGATTTCACTCATGTGGAATTTAAGAAACAAAACAAGATGAACATAGGGGAAGGGGAGAAATAAAAACAGAGGGAAGCAAACCATGAGAGACTTTATAGTTAAGAGAACAAACTGAGGCTTGCTGGAGGGGAGGAAGGTGGAGGGATGGGTATTAAGGAGGGCACTTGTTAGGATGAGCACTGGGTGTTACACGTAAGTGATAGAAATAAGAAAGCACTTGACAATTTCTGCTTAAATATCATTACCCCCACTTGTAATTTTTAGATTTGTATGAATTTTATATTAAAAAGTTATGCATCTTATCCTGTTCAGAATTGTAAAAACAATTAGCTCTTCCACTTAATATTGTTTCTCTTATGTATGTCTTCAGTATCTATTAGTGGAATACAGTCACTCAAATGAAATCCTAAAAAATAAACATGCCTTAATTGAAAAATATGTGTAAGGCATTTCTATTTCAAAACATATTGGTAATATTACATATCTACCAGCTTATAAGGTTATTTTTGCTTCTTTCTGAAATTAATTTAGGTGTAATACATGTTAGTGTAATTTTGAGATTAAATCATACGAATATGTTTCCTATTCTTTAGTATTATCACACATAGATAGAAATAATGTTTTATAAAATAATATTTTATAAATGTGCAAATTTCTCATTGCATTTGCTATTTCAGCTTCACCAAACCCAGAAGTCATCAAGATAAATTCAATTTCAGATATAGTAACAAAAGTGGAAGACTACTATCTTAAAGGATATATTGTTGGAGCTATTCATCCTGTTATACAACCTGTGGGGCAGCGAAAACACCTACCTGCAAGTTACCTGTACAGAGTAGTGCTGTTGCGCTTGAAATTAAGGTAAGCCTGGTGCTTAAGGAAACAGACTAGGAAGCAGTTGAGACAGTTTTCTTTGGCTAAAAGAAAAGGAAGTTTGAACGTAGTGATGGGGAATAAAGGATAATTAGGGAGTTTGGTTTAGAGCACATTTTCCGGTAGTTGAACCTGGATTGAGAGAAGGAAACTTACACCCCCTTCCTTTTAAAGCTCTTCATTGATTTTAGCCCCTTGCAAACAAATGGGTCCTAGGTGAGAATGTCAGTGAACAAAGGAGAAGGAAAATAGACTCAAGAAGTACCTAGAAGCTTCAGTTGAGTAACCGTCAGCTACAGGTCCTATCACTGGACTAAAAGAGCTGACTGGACCAACAAAGTCCACTTCCACTGAGCATTTTTTTTTACCTGTCCTATATTATTTTATTTATAGTGGCAACAGAAACTATCTCTCCCTTCTAAAACTTTTACAGCAAAAAGATCTACCCTCCAAGTTCTCACAAATCAGATAGACTTACCAGCTTTTTCCAAAAAAAGTAGGATGTAAAAACCATCCATTTTTTTCTTTTTTTTTTAGTAGCTGCTTTCCCAAACAATACTGCAACTATTTTTGCCAGCCTAGCTTGTAAGTTTGATAGTTTTCAAAATACAGTTACCCTTTCCAAAGAAGAATGAAAATAACCAAACCAATGTATTTAACACATCAGGTTTTTTTTTACACAACTTTTGAACTATATCAAGCCATCTCAAAGACCAGGGTAAAAACTGTTTTCTCTTTTTAGTGATGGACTAATTATTGATCACTTTAACTAAGAAAGAGCTAAGCAAGGAAAGAAAAATGAAATAAGAAGAGAGAAAACAGGAAAATTGAAAAAAAAAATAAAGACTTTAAAAAATTCCAGTTGTTCTTTTAAGGGACACTGCCTTGCTACTGAGTAATTGCCAACTTACAGATGTCTGAGAGGGTTTGTACGGGCCCCAGCTTTCACCATGATGTGGAACCTCATCCAGTATTTCAAGCATTACTAAATAAACATGCCATTTTATCACATGGTAGCAACATTTATGTCCTAATTACAAATCTTATAAACTATGTATAAATTATTTTTCCTCTTTTAGCATTACTTCCAGTGGACTTAGCAGTGCTCTGACAAGGCTAAGAATAACAAGGGGTAAAGATCAGAAAAGAAAAAAAGGAAAAAGGATGATATTTATTTGCATTCAAATAGGACGCTTACTTGTGTTTTGTATAAAAATGAGGTATAACAGTGATCTAAAATCATTTCTCACAGTTTTTAGTAAAACAACTGGTGAATTTTTTCTTCCATATTAAATTAGAAATTAAATTAATAGAGGTTTAAACTAAGAAAATTTAAATTAATAAAAGTTACTCTGTTTTTCTGGTATTTTTACCTAAGAAGACAACCATTAGGCTCGAAAAAAAAAATTTGTCTTGACCTTATTTATGAGTTGCTCATTCATTTTTACATTGAGCATATTAGCTAAAATAATCAACTAACTTCCAACCATGAATATATTCTCTGTTACAGCCCGAAGCATTCGGCAGTACCCAGTGGACAAAGACGCCCAAGGCTGGTGATTGAGGAATATCCTCTAACTTATGAGACACAAACAAATGACATAGCAAAAGAACTGATAGAAAAGGTACTACATGTATTCATTTTTTCATGTGATATCAAGAAATATTTGGTATTTCTTCTTCATCAGTTTCCTTTCTTACTTTAAAAAGAACAGGGAAGGGGCGCCTGGGTGGCTCAGTTGGGTAAGCGGCTGCCTTCGGCTCAGGTCATGATCCCAGGGTCCTGGGATTGAGCCCCGCATCAGGCTCCCTGCTCAGCAGAGAGCCTGCTTCTCCCTTTCCCTCTGCCTGTCGCTCTGCTTACTTGTGCTCTCTATCTCTCTGTCAAATAAAAAAATAAAACGTATATTAAAAAAAAAAAAAGAACAGGGAAATATGGTGAGTGACTTCTACCAGAGGTTAAAACATATTGAAGCACACATATCAAATTGTACAAGAAAAACCAAGAAAAATTGTACATTCATAAGTATTCTAAATTGATGGGATTTTAAGTGAAAGTTTGTTCTTAGTTGCATTGACGTATTTGTAAGGTTTTAGGTTTTATTTAAGCAAATACAGCCAAAAACCTAAGGCATTTCAAGTAAGAAATTTGTTCATTGCTTTTATTATTGTTGCCGAGCTTTAAATGGCCACGTGTGTCTGTAGTTTTGTGTATAGCCAGTTATAGCTGCTAATGATATTTCCCTTTTAGGTATAAAGTCACCATTCAATAAGATTTTCAGGAACAGTCCTTGAGACTAGATTTTTATAAACAAGTTACACATACTGTTTACTACTACTATTCTGGGAAATTTCAATTTGTTTTTCTGGGAATAAATCCACTCCAAAAAATTTCTTTTGAAACAAAAATGTAACTACTAATTTAATCTTAATAGATCACCAACAGAGCCCTTGTTTTGCATTTAACTTCCTGGACACAGTTAAAGATCTATTTAAACAGGAAAGTACTGTTATATCAGCAATTAGAGTAATGGGGTTATTTCATGAAGAGAAAAGCTTCAGGAAACATAGCACATGAACTATTTGAACATTGCCCCATGTGTGAACAAGAGCAACAGATGAATGCCAAATATTATTTTGGAACAGCTGTTTTACATAAAGAGTTTATTGTTAAATAGCTAGATTTTAAGTCATTTTACCATTATATCAATATTTTCGCTATTTTTAAAATTAGGTTTATAAGTGTTTTTCCCAGGATTTTTAAATAAAAATAACATTTAAAAATATCAATCTTCCAGGTGCCTGGGTGGCTCAGTTGGTTAAGTGACTGCCTTCAGCTCAGGTCATGATCCCAGAGTCCTGGGATCGAGTCCCACGTCGGGCTCCCTGCTCAGTGGGGAGCCTGCTTCTCCCTCTGACCCTCTCCCCTCTCATGTTGTTTCTCTCTCTCTAATAAATAAATAAATAAAATCTTAAAAAAAAATAAAAATGTCAATCTTCCAACTCAATAAAAATGGAAAAAATGTTAATACTCTATTTGTTACTTTTCCAGATGAAACTTTCTAGTAATAGAAAATAGAAAAGGCCTTCTGCACTTTTTCACCCAAATCAACTAAGAAGGCCTAGAGAAAGAACTGACAATAAATTTACCCATTCCCACCTGCAGAATACCATGCCTCCTTACCACTTCTTTCTCCTCTCCCAGGACATTTGATACAAAGGACAATTTATGGTTACTTTTAAGGCTTCATGCATTATTACAACCTCAGTATGTTCATTTATAGGAGTCAATGATATTGTGTCAGTGTCATCCTCTATCCTAGCTCCACACGCCTACACCTCCGTCGTGCTCGGAATTCTCCTCATTGGCTGGAGCTGAGTGACCGTTGTGGGCATTGCTGTCTGGTTTTGCCCCAAATGTTCCTGGCCTTTTTCATTTATTTCATTTCTGACCATAGGTGTTTGCATTTACAACCGCCACCATAAGTCTTTTTCCCCTCCCAGGTAACATTTAAAACATTTAATTTAGGGTTGCCTGGGTGACTCAGTAGGTTAAGACTCTGACTCTTGGTTTTGGCTCAGGTAGTAATCTCAGGGTCATGAGATCAAGCCCCACATTGGGCTCCTCACTCAGCAAGGAGTCTGCTTGATGATTCTCTCTCCCTCTCCCTCTGCCCCCCACCCCACTTGCACACTCTCTTTCTCTCTATCAGAGAACTAAGTCTTTAAAAAAATCATTCAATTTAAATGTTTAAAACAGTGACCAAATAAAAGATGTTGCTATTTCTTTATTTCTACTTATTTAACAAGTATTTATAGAGCACCCACAGGTACAAAACAGCACAATACAAAAATGATTAAGACACAGTCCTAGTCCTCAAAAGAATTGCCAGTTTAACAGAGGAGAAAAACATGGATACAAAAAGAACAAAGAAATGAAGCAAAAGCAGAGAAAGGGAAAGGTGCCCAGCATGAAAATCACCACTCTCAAGGTCTCAAATTATTTCACTGGCATTATATTACGTGCTTCTGAATCCTATTCTTTAACTTATATGATTGAATCTAATCATGAGCGTTTGGCCCGACAGGAGACAAGAGCATCAAGATATAAGCATATGTGGGGGCGCCTGGGTGGCTCAGATGGTTAAGCGTCTGCCTTCAGCTCGGGTCATGATCCCAGGGTCCTGGGATCGAGTCCCGCATCGGGCTCTCTGCTCCTTGGGAGCCTGCTTCTCCCTCTGCCTCTCTCTCTCTCTCTCTCTGTCTCTCATGAATAAATAAATAAAATCTTTAAAAAAAAAAAAAAGATATAAGCATATGTGAAAGCTTCCTGAGAGTGAATCAGGCCTATGCATTATACATACACATTTGTCAAGAGTTAGACTTGTGACATTTTTCTTTACCCACATCAAGCAAACAATGCTGTATGTTTTTGCTTTTAAATTAATGTTTCTTCTTTATTAATTAAGATTGTGTTATTTTTGAGGATTTCTTGGAATAGTTTTTAATTTTGCCCCAATGGGAGAGACCATTGTTAACAAGTCTGCAAAAATCATGTTAGAGAATTATTAGTTCTTCCCAAATAGTAACCTTTTGAAGAAAAACATGATTCCTGTTCTCCTAATTTCTAAAGTGTATCAGTTCTGTTTGAAGAAGTCACAATAATAGTGTGACATAGTCTTTTTTTTTTTAAATGAAATCTTTTTTTTTTAAGATTTTTATTTATTTATTTGAGAGAGAGAATGAGAGAGAGAGAGAGCTTGAGAGGGGGAGGGTCAGAGGGAGAAGCAGGCTCCTCGCTGAGCAGGGAGCCCGATGCGGGACTCGATCCGGGGACTCCAGGATCATGACCTGAGCCGAAGGCAGTCGCTTAATCAACTGAGCCACCCAGGCACCCCAATAGTGTGACATAGTCTTAGGAGTAGTGCTTTATTAGAGGTTATTACTTTGTGTATGAATGGGTCTTTAGTTAGTGGTCAATTTACTTCTTGTGGATTTCCTTAATAAGCCTATAGGTTAATTGATAAAGTAATCAATGTAAATAAATTTTACATTTTGTTCTACAATCTCTTTTCAGATTAATATAGCTGCTAAGAGAGGAATGAAATTTGTTGGATTCATATCACAGCCTTATCCACCACTTAAATTCTGCAACGGAAGCAATCACGATGGAGATACAGAATCAACACTGCCTGTGAGACACACTTCGGAGGAAAACTGTAAAAGTTGGAATGAAGGAACATTAAGTGGGCAATCGTCTGAGAGTGGAATTGAGGAAGAACTTCATCATGAAAGTGGACAGTGTCAGATGGACCGAGATGGCAGCCCCAGTTACTCTAAATCCAGAAAGGGAGAAGGTAATAGACAAGATAAGTAGAAAGAGTATATTAGTTTAAATTTAGCAAAAATAAGTTTTTGATGTTTTTTAGAAACATGAGGCAAAGTAAATTTCCAAAGATTATCAAGGCTGAATAAACTAATATAAACTTGTCTTGATTTTTTTGAAGTTACTGTAGCCAAAAATAAGGTAGGGCAGTTTTTCAAACAGTTGTCCCTGGCATGGTCATACAATGCCATCCACATAAGGAAATTTTGTTTTGAAAATTGGTTCTCATTTAGTCATTCACCAACTCCCCTATAAAATGGAGGCTGTGTGTGTATACAGAAAGTGATTCTATAAATATAGAAAGCTGCTCTATGTTTTTTTTAAAAACAGTGTGTGGGAATTTTAGTTTTGGCCTTTCCCATTTCATGGATGGTTTTCGCCTTTGAAGTTAACTGGCTTCTTTTGATCATCAATTAGAATATGAAAATGCACATCATGATGAAACAATTAATATAACAATACTGCCTGCATCCTAAAATAACTTTAAACATTAGTTTTATTCTACTTTGCCAACTGGCAACTCCTCCCAAGAAACTGAGACTACTTTGTCATGTATTTTGGCGTGCTCAGAGTTTTCTGCTACCTTTGCAGGCATGCTTTAAAAAGCACTACTAGAGAAAGTCAAAGATGATGCATACCTTAGAATTAAGAGTTCTGGAGTCAGACTGCCTCAATTTCTTCACAGAAAGGGGGTTGTTGTGAGCAGTAGTAGTAGTAGTACACACTCTGGTGTAACACACTGCACACACGTACATTGGCCTTCTAGGTTGTAGTGAAATATGCTCAGCATTCTGAGGATGGCAGAGACCCACTCAACCATGGTCAGCACAGTCTTTTTAAGAACAAACCAGAAGCATTTTTTAATTCATCATCTTACCCCTCCTCACCACCACCACCATCCCATTTTTTCACCAGCTCCCTAGCTAACAACCATCCTGATTTTCCTGCAGTGTAAACATTTTAGAAACAAGAGTTGTTGGAGCTATGGTCAGAGACCTACTTGCTATCTTCCACGCAATGTTACCTTTAAATTCCTGCCGGTTCCCATCCTAACTTTGATTAGATCAGGTGTTTACTTCCAGTCCTTTTAAGTTCTAAATCCAATATGCTACTTAACTTAATTATCAATCTTTAGATTCTACTTTTTTTTTTTAATTATTTTTTAAATTTTTTAGAGGGCAGGTGGAGGAGCAGAGAGAGAATCTTAAGCAGGCTCCACTCCCAGTGCAGAGCCCAACCCAGGGCTTGATCTCACAACCCTGAGATCATGACCTGAGCTGAAATCAAGAGTCAGACGCTTAATTGACTGAACCACCCAGGCGACCCTAGACTCCACTTTCTTAAATCATATACTTCTTTTTTTTTTTTTAAAGATTTTATTTATTTATTTGAGAGAGAATGAGAGCCAGCACATGAGAGGGGGGAGGGTCAGAGGGAGAAGCAGACTCCCTGCCGAGCAGGGAGCCCGATGCGGGACTCGATCCAGGGACTCCAGGATCATGACCTGAGCCGAAGGCAGTCGCTTAACGACTGAGCCACCCAGGCGCCCAAATCATATACTTCTTAATAATCATATACTTCTTAATAATAATAATCATATACTTAATAATAATAATAAGACTCCACTTTCTTAAATCATATACTTCTTAATAATAAACTTCTTAATATAAATCATATACTTCTTAAAAATTTCTCTATGGCAATAGTTCTTAATTTTGTGTGCAGGTGTGGGATGGTGGCAGCATGAGGCTGGGGGGAGACACACACAAAAGACCCCTTGGAGAATCTGGTGAAATCCATGGAGACTCAATCCAGGAAAATGCACATAGGGGCATCTGAGTGGCTCAGTTCATTGGGCAGCTGACTCTTGTTTTTGGCTCAGGTCATGATCTCAGGGTCATGAGATCGAGCCCTGCATCTGGCTCCACATTCCGTGTGGAGTCTGCTAGAGATTCTCTCTCTCTCCTTCTCCCTCTGCCCCTCCCCCCACTCGAGCACTCTCTAAATAAATAAATAAATAAAATCTTTCTTTAAAATGCACATAACATACATACCCCCAAGTACTTGCGCAATACAAGTGGTGTTAGACTTCCTAAACATAACCATATAGGTGGGTCCATAGACTACTCCCCAAGTTAAGAATTTGCCAACTTATGGAAAACTAGTAGATATGACCCCTCAGTTCCATGTCTAAATATGTATTCCAGAGTCACTCCCAAATATGAGACATGAATAATGCTTACAATAACAAAATTTTGGAAACAATGTATCAACAGGAGAATAATAAACTGGAATATTATGTAGCAGTTTAACTAAATGAATAAGGTCTATATGTATTAATTCAACTTCAAGCATAAAAACAAATCAATTTGTAGGGGCGGCTGGGTGGCTCAGTCAATTAAGCATCCACCTTTGGCTCAGGTCATGATCTCGGGCTCCTGGGATCGAGGCCACCCTCCCCCCTCCCCCAGCCCCGGGTTGGGCTCCCTGCTTAGCAGGGAGTCTGCTTCTCCTTCTCCCTCTGCTCCTCCCCCCCACCACTTTGCTCTCTCTCTCTCTTAAATAAATAAAATCTTTTTAAAAAATCAATTTATAAATGCATATATACAATATCATACTTCTTTAAAAGTTTTTTAAACTGCAAAACATAATATATATTAATGGGTATATAAATGTGCATTAAAAGAGTAAAAGCTAGAATGAGAATAATAAACACCAAATCATTATAGTAGCTATTTCTGGAGAACTGGATTAGGGAAGACTACAAAGTGAGTCTCAACTACATCCATTTCTCATTTCCTGGAAAAAAGTCTAAAGGAAACAAGGCACAAGATTAACATTTAATAAAGTTGAGTGGTAGGTAATTTTATTATTCTCTATGCTTGTCTGTTTGCTTGAAATACATGAGTAATAAAAAAAATTTTAGGAATCTTTTCAACAAATGAATAAATAAATACTTTTTCTTCTTTCTGAACACCTATTCCCAGATAACAAGTTATATACAGTATTCAATGTTTTTGATGATGAATCAACCTGTTGGACCTATCAGGAAGGCATCCTGTCAATGAAAGTAACAAGAAAAGGATCTGTCATTAGTACACTTGATGCTGATTGGCTGGAGTTAACTACATTTTATTATAAACAAGGCTTGTCTTTAATTGATTCTTTTGTATGCTGGGAAACATCTAAAGGTAAGTTTTATATTATGATATATTGATAACTAAAGAATTTGACCTGTGTCAGAGTTGGTACAAATGTTTTTGCCTCTCAAAATCAGTGGCTAAAAGGACAGGTATTATTCACTAGGAATTAGATTCCAATTATTACACAGCTATGTAGCTTTAATTTAAAAGCTTAACTATCTTGCTTTCCTGCTGCCACTGCTTTTAGCAACCTTGAAAGGAAAGAAAATAAACAGATGACAGAATTTCCACTAGACCCAACTAGCACTAAGGAAAAACTTCTTCCCTCTGAGCCACATGTCCTGATGACCCAGATTTTGGACAGTGTGTCACATCTGGTCTGGACCAGTGATTAAGAAGCCTAATCACATTCCAGTTTGTATGGCATGGGTTGGCATGCCCATAGATGAGAACATCAAGGTATAAGCAGCAAGGCCTTTCCATATCCATGTGAAACAAAGGCCTTCAAGCTTAGCCTCCTTGAAGATATGACCTATGATCTGTCTTCCAGCCAAACACAGGCTTGTGAGGGGGGCTCTGAGAACACTAAGTACCTGGAAGATCCAATGCCCTCTGGTCCCTCATGCCTTTCCTATGTTCTTTTTTGTGGAAGGTAACTTGACAGTAAGCTGAGGGGAACATCCCCAAGCCCTGTCTTCCCATCACTGCAGCTGCATGCTCCTCCCCATGGCTCAGCCTTCGCTCCTGAAGGAGCTGATGCTCCAGAGGCTCCCAGTGGGAATTCCCACTATGAATCATAATAAAGAGATTGTGATGATAGATGATAGATAGATGATAGATAGATAGATAGATAGATAGATAGATAGATAGATAGATAAATGATAGATAGATGATAGATAGAGATAGATAGATGTAAGCTTAACCATCATGCGTGGTAGAATTATAATGTAATGTTTGCTGCTGGGTTGTAACTGTCAGGAATAGACAAAACACTGTATGATTGACTAGGATTTTCCAAATAAGATGTATTATAACAGCCCAGTTAGAAGGATTATAATTGCATTTGACAGTTACTGTCCAAACTTATACACTATCCCAATTTTGGTCACTATCTACCATGTACTCCAGTCTATATCTGACTCTAAAATTTGTATAGAAAAATAATCTTTGGTTCAAAAATGATATGGACTCTATTTATTTCTGCCTCCTTTATCTTTCAACTTCCCCTAGCCTTCCTCTTTTAGTTACAATAGAATATGTAATCATTCATGTCTATCACAAAAACAAACAAAACTTGCCAAAAATTACTTTCTAGGGAAAGTGTTTTTAAAAACAGATTAGTGCTAAAAGGGAAAAAAAATTCATAGTTAGGAGACTTGAAAAATAAATTAAGAAGGATGAAGTCTATGAAAAACAGGATAATTAATTACCTCAGTGAGGTTAGATGAAAGAACAAAAAAGCAAATAAGATCTCAATATACCTTATTATCCTTAAATCAGACTATCATTCAGTATGGAGTTTCCTCAAAAAGTTAAAAATAGGGGCGCCTGGGTGGCTCAGCCATTAAGCGTCTGCCTTCGGCTCAGGTCATGATCCCAGGGTTCTGGGATCGAGCCCCGCATCCGGCTCCTTGCTCGGCAGGAAGCCTGCTTCTCCCTCTCCCACTCCCCCTGCTTGTGTTCCCTCTCTCGCTGTCTCTCTGTCAAATAAATAAAATCTTTAAAAAAAAAAAAAAAGAAGAGAGGTAAAAATAGCACTACCCTACGATCCAGCAATTGCACTACTAGGTATTTCCCAATGGATACAAAAATACTGTTTGAAGGGACACATGCACCCCGATGTTTATAGCAGCATTATCAACAATAGCCAAATTAGGGAAAAAGCCCAAATGTCCATCAACTGATGAATGGATAAAGATGTGGTATATATACACAATGAAATATTACTCAGCCATCAAAAAGAATGAAATCTTGCCTTTTGCAACAATGTTAGATGGAGCTAGAGTGTATTATGCTAAGCAAAATAAGTCAGAGAAAGACAAATGCCATATGATTTCACTCATACATGGAATTTAAGAAACAAAACAAATGAATATAGGGTAAGGAGTAAAAAAGAGAGGGGGGAGGCAAATCATAAGAGACTTTTTTTTAAAGATTTTATCTGTTTATCTGAGAGAGAGAGAGAGAGCATGAGTGGGGGTGGGGGAATGCTGAGAGAGAGGGAGAAGCCACTCCCCACTGAGCAGGGAGCCTGATGCAGGCTCAGTCCCAGGGCCCTGAGATCATGACCTGAGCCGAAGGCAGACTCTTAACTGACTGAGCCATCCAGATGCCCCATGAGACTCTCAAGTAGAGAACAAACTGAGGGTTGCTGGCGGAGAGGTGGTCAGGGGATGGTCTAAATGGGTGATGGGTATTAAGGAGGGCACCTGTTATGATGAACACTGGGTGTTATATATAAGTGACAAATCATGAAATTTTACTCCTGAAATCAATATTATACTACATGTTTAACTAACTAGAATTTAAATAAAAACTTTTAAAAAAGAAAATCAGCCTATCATTAAATCAGGGATACCTTAACTAATAGAACTAAAGACTTTGGGTAATTATTTAAAATTATCAAGAATCATGGTCCAATAGGTTCTTTTAACTAGAAACCAAGAGTAAGGATCTAGCCCATTGGAACACCCAGAAATATGGCCCGTAACACACAGCCCATAGCAGGTGTGTGACAGATATTCCTTAGTATTTTTGGTTATTAGAAACTTCTCCCAAGTCGGTCTTTTATGGAAACAGCAAAATCTAATAAGAAGAGCATGGACTTTAGGATCAGATAGACCAGGGTTTAAATTCCATGTCCTCTGCTTATTAGCTGGGTGATCTGGAGAAGTTAGGGAGCTTACTGAGCCACATTTTCCTAAAAGGCGAATAAAAATATTCCCTACTTTACTGCTGTGAAAATTTAATAAACTATAGTATGTACAAAATGACTCCACAGTGCCTCGCCCACTGCCAGAGCTTATTTTCTGCTGTTAGTTTTCTTTCCTGTGGCTTACTGTGCAGTTACAGTACTTTTCATATGGATCACCTACTTAGAGATCAGTTTATGCTTCATGTATTTCTCTTTCTCTCTTCTTTTTCTCCTTCTCTTCCTTCCAAAAAGTCTAAGTTGGAACCATTTCAAATTTTGGTTTGTGACCAACTGCTGAAGGAAAAACGAAAAATACTCCTTTCAAAATCCATTTCAGGCATCCCTGCCTTGGGCTTTGCCTGATGAAAATAAAATTAGCCCCAGCAGTTGCCAGCTAGAGGCTCTGTAGGGCTTTTGTTCCCAAAGCCTCAGAAGCTATTTAGAGAGCCCAGGGGAGAATCTCTTCCTCTCAGCAGCTCTGGAATGTCTCATTAGACATTTTACATTCCAGGCCATGCCAAGGCCCTAACGAGCCACCACGGTCTGTGGGGTCTGGCAACTGGGTGTGTCACTCTGGACTTCCCTATGAGTACACAGGGAAGCTGCAGAGGGGAAATTGTGACCCATGCCTCTGTCACTGTGAGAAGCAAGTCAGAGGAAGCAGGGCTGAATTGGTTGCTTTGTTCTGGGACAGTTGATGCCTGACAACTAAAGCACATGGGGGACAATGTGTATTTTGTTTTGTCTTGCTTCCATCCTCTTCCAGAATGTTGTCAGAAGTCAGCCTATCATGAAGAATAGAAGTACAAAACCAGACATTGCACAGACATTTAAATACATTACTCCATAAATCTCATTTTATAAAATATCTTCCTCTAGAAAGAGGGAGAGGAAGAACAAAACTTTTAAAAAGTTTTCTCCTTTGGGGGGGTCATAGTGGAGAGGTTGTGAGATTGTGAATTCTTCTTCAATGCCCTTTCCCACGCACTCTCCAAGCCTTTCCTGCTTCAAAAAGCCCCAAAGGAGAGGCACCCAGTGGCCGTCTTGCTGTTCTTGCAGCCTGAGGGTTCACACTGCAATGGCCTCCTGCATTTGACCTTCTCCTGCATTGCTGGGCCCTCACCCTCAACAGGCTTCCCCAGTTGAGCCAACAAAGACGAAACCCTTTATTTTACCAGAATGTGTAGAGATCCAGTGGGCCGTTGGCATGGGCTGAGATGAGCAGCTTTGCCAGCTGGTATAAAACACACACACACACACCACCCATGAGGTCCCCATACTTTACTAGCCTATAAATGCCCTCATCGATGTTAGAGAATAGTCTCTTCCCACCTTTAGTACACCCACATCTTAAGGTTACATACATACATAAAAAACATACTGTTTTTTATGAATTTTTAGACTTAAATTCATTTCGATCTCTTCGCCCCTATAAAAATGCTTGTGTGGAGGTAGCAGGCAAGCTGTATCAGAATGAGGAATAGGGTAGAGTACTGACAAAGAAACATGTATTAATTCACTTCACGTATATGTATATGCCAGGCCCTATGCCAGGCACTGGGTTTACAATGATGAGCAAAATGGACATATTCCCTACTCTCAAAAAGCTGGCCTTGTGGCATAAGGCAGTCAGGCAGCAATGGGTATGGAAACATACATGACTAATTTCAAAATTGAGACAAGTGTTGTGACATTACCCAACATGACATTGTAAGGAGACGTCCAGAGGTCCCGCCTGATGAGGCACCAATCACACTGAGACTGGAAAGCCGGCATTCGAGAGCCAGAGGTAGACCATTCTAGGCAGAAGAAACACCCCCAGATGTTCAAAAACCCTAGGGCAGGAAAGAGGATCAGGGAAAAGGTCTGTGTCTCTGGAGCAGGGTATGAAGAGAGAATGGCTCCAGACAAGGTAGAAGAGGTAAGAGTTTATATATGTGCTCTCCAGTTCTCAGAGATGGTCCCAGGCCCGTCTCTAGGCAGTTTAATGCCAAAAATGACACGTGGACCAAAAATACTAAAATGGAATGTTACCTTTCCTCACATTTACAGAAATGTCAATGTCATATGTAGCTGAAATGAATGTGTCAGAGCACATGTCCTTTAAGCTTGTGCTTCTCAAACCAGAATCCAAGTACTCTGGGGGTATGCAGCCATGTGCTCAGGAGTACAAAGGTTCACAGGATAAACCTCTTCCTAGAATGTCAATATTATTTAAGATGGGGAGATGGAGAACTGTACTTTTTTACATAATAGGAATATAGTTGAAAATGCAAGGTTTGCATGGATTTTAAGATACAACATTAGACTTTAAAGAAACCTTATTCTTGCCACAAATCACTTCACACTGTACTTGGAGACCATCCTTCAAGGATACAGGTATAGTACCCTTTGCTATTGGTGGTATTTGGCTTAAAAAAAAAAATTAAGAGGCAGTGCATCATCAGGTCAATGCCTCGTAACTTTTTCACATTATGCACACATAGAAAAGCATACAGGTATATGAGGATAAAGCTTTTCTGAGCAGGAGGGGGCACCCTATTCTTGGCACTTCTACAACAGGTTCTCAGCATACCAGTGGGCCAAGGCATACTGGGTGGGAAGTTCTGGGATGTGTAATGTTAAGAAGTGACTCTGTTCAGGAACAGTTATTAAGTAATTGTTCAGAATTATCACCTCACCGCATTACCTGAAAGATTTAACACACCAAGCACCCAGTCACTCTCCATGAGACCTTCCCTGCCACCCTGACTTGCCACCACTTCTGTTAGGGAGAATTTTTCAGGAGATAGAAGTACTTTCTCCATGTAAGTATCCTTCATCAGTGGCTCTGGGGATTGGCATGGGCCCCAAGAAGGTCAGCGAGAGCTCTAGGAGCTCTGAAGTGAGAAGGAGGGACCTAAGTATAATATCCATATAGTAAAGTACATTAATCTTATGTGTACAGCTGAATAGAACACAAATGTTCAAGATATGAAACATCTCTTTATATGTCAGTTATATCTCAATAAAGCTGGGAGGGAGGAATGTAGAGGGGGAAAAAATGGTACAGAACATTTCCATCATCCCAGAAAACCACTTCATCCCCCTTCCAGTCAATATCCTCCCACCCAGAGTAAGCGTTATTCTGACATCCACCACCATAAATTAGTTTTGCCTGTTTTCGAACTTCACATAGGTTGAAGTATACAGTATGTACTCTTTTGTGTCTGGCCTCTTTTGCCCAACATAGTATCTGAAATTCATCCATGTTGCTACACAGCAGTGAGTCTTGCTTGTTTATTCTTGTGTAGTATTGCATTGTATGAATCTGTACCACACTCTCATTCTTTTAAACCAAAAGAAATTTAGAAGTACTAGGGTACCCCAATACTAAAAACAAGAAAACAGTCACAGAGCCACAAAACCAATGGTTCTCACATTATATAATCCCCAAGTAAATAAGAGGCAGATTATAATTACATAATTATCACAGCATATTATTATTTCTAAAATTCATACCCCCCCCCATGCTAAAAAAGGACTTGGGGCATACATAGTTTTATAGATGGTCTTCTGATGCTCTAAACTTACAATCAGAAAGGTTTACTTCCACTGATCACTTGGGTGTGACAGTGGACGAGTACATTTAAAGGAAATGGAACATATACAAATACTGTAATTCCAACTAGTAAATTAAACTTTACTGGGTTTTTGGGAACCAGTCTGAACAATGTAAATTCTTCATGATGATCTGCCCTAACTGTAAATGGTGTAAATAATAATAATAAGGATTTTCTCTTAAAGTTTATAGCCTGTTAATAAAAATCAGAACTAAAAATTACATTGAAATTATGTTTGTCTTTTTTATCTTTAAACTTAAGAGATCACTTGAAAACTTTGTAGGTTATAATTTAGATCACTGTCCACCAGGGAGACTTTGATGCGACATTGTACAGTATAAAAAAATAAAATGTTTAACCAGCACATGACCATGGGAAAATTGTCTCCTATTGCAAAATAAGAGACAAAAGAACGTCCATAAAATCAGTTTAGTTTTCACCAGCTGGTTATTGTCAGCTATTCAAGAAAATGTCAGAGAGGCCCTCCCTTAAAACTTCCTTCCCAGCAGGAATTCTTTTGACAATGACTTCTGTTTAGGATTTTCCTGTTACCATTCTTTTATTATTTTTTTAAAGCATCATGGAGGTAAAGAATTGTTTTGTGTTTATAGTTTTTGAAGTGGTCTTACCTTACCTTAGTTTTAATATCACACCTGTAATTTCAAGGATTAACATTTTTTATGTTTTCTCTCTTAATGGTATAATTAATATGCATAAACATACAGATTGGAAACCAAAATTTGATTTCAAGGTGAAGGTCATTTCCCGATGCTTTTTAGGCTTAGGAAATCCACTTGCTTCTCATTGTACAATATTATTTTATCTTGGTTTTGTTATTGTAGTTTTCATATTTACAGTGTGATTTTAATTCAGTGAAGTGCAAACCTGTCTTGAGCTTTCCCAAAAAAATTATAATAATAATAACCTTCAATGAGAAGGAGGAGGTTGTTGTTGATTCAGCCAAAACAAGTGCCTATTAATTTATATGCTTTTCAGCTTACTAAAAGGGTTATCTAAGGATTTAAATGAACTTAAGAAACACTCAGTATTTGCAACTCTTCTTGATTGTATCCTTTTCCTCATAGGGGACATTTTGCCTAAATCTTTGGAAGGATTCTTTATCTACGAAGAAGAAGGCTCTGGCGTTCCAGGTTCCATTAGGAAAGGAAATGATGCCATCGTAGTAGAACAATGGACCGTTATTGAGGTAAGCCGCAATTTTCTGACAATTTAGCTTAAATTTTATATTTAGTTTTACATGATAAAGATCTTCATTGCCTAATACATACAGTATCCTTCAAACACGTGTCTGTGCAGGGTTCAGAATTTCATCACAAATGCATAAACAAACTTTGTTCAGATTTGTGAAAAGTTGATTTCCTTTACTCAATGTTCAACTTCATTATAAGATAGCAAAATAATTACCTATATCTAGATAGCAGTAGACTCCCAAAGAGTTGACATTCTAATCCTAAGTTCCCTGGCCCTGAGATTCTCTTTACACATGCCATGACAACTGGCTGAAACTGAGAAAAACTCAGTCAACAACTACCATTTTATCTCCAAGCAACCAATGTGACTGACTTTGTTTTTACCCTGTGAATTGACTTTCAAAGGCAAAAATATCCAAAAGGTGTTCTCTCTCTCGCCAGGCCAGATAATGTGCACACAGCCTTGTCCTTCCTAATCAGAGATGACATGGCTGATGCTGTCGTGCCCTCTGAATTCAGATGTGCTGTGTGTGTGAGGCCCTCACGACAGGCTCTCTCCGGGACACCATTGCCTTTCTGGCCTGATAAGGGCAGAGAGAGAGGCATAGCTCATTTTCAAAGAAACTCGAAATCCCACTGAGGGGGAGGAAAGGATTTGGGGATAGAGGTAAAACACCAAGTAAAAATCAATTCCAAGTGAGTAAAAAGCAGGGAGGTGACTCGGCATCTAAGCCCTACTTACCTTTCACTCCCCCATCTTCACTTCCAACTCTTGTCCTCACTTCCCAGTCCATTGACCAGTGTTTCTAAAACTGTGGTCTATAAACTACTTGGATCCAAATCACAAGGAGCTTTTTTAAAGGCAGATTCCCGAGCCCCCTACCTTAAAGTCTGATGCCTGAACAAGGCCAAGGGAACAAGACAGAAGGGAGGTCCAAACTCTGGAGAACCATATGGAAACCTCTCTCCACTCTGATCCCCAGTGTTCCTACCTTGGTTCAATGGTTAGAAGGCAGCAGGTAGCAGAAAATGAAGCCCAGGAAGAGTGCAGCTGGTGAAATTGTATTTCATGGAGTGTGAACTCCCTTTACCGTCATAGCCATTACCCGTTATTGTAATCACCCGTGTAGCTGGTGGTCTTTGCCCTTAGGGACGCCTGGGTGGCTCAGTCAGTTAAGCATCTGCCTTCGGCTCAGGTCATGATCCCAGGGTCCTGGGATCGAGTCCCGCATCGGGCTCCCTGCTCCGCAGGGAGCCTGCTTCTCCCTCTGCCTCTGCCTCTCTCTCTCTCTCATGAATAAATAAATAAAATCTTAAAAAAAAAAAAGGAATATGAGCTCTTATGCTTATTCACGCAGGGCTGTGAGATCAAAACGGACTACGGCCCTCTGCTGCACACTCTGGCTGAGTTTGGATGGCTCCTGACAAGCGTGTTACCTACGCCTATAGTACGACATGACAGGTAAGGCCAAAGGATCCTCACAAACGCGCCTCTAATCCTAAAACATAGCTCGTTTGTTGGATAACTCGGTTCAACAAATCCTTATTTAACGTCTACAAAAAGCATTTCACTGAACTTCTAATCTGATTTCATGGACCTGGGAGATCCGCTCATCTAATCCCCTCAAGTTACAGATGGACAAGCTACAACATCTCCTTCCCAGGGGGCCATGCTCACGTTCACAGGGCAGAGCCAGGCAGGGGCGTGGAGACTGGCTCCCAGCTCAGGGTCCCTCAAGATACCAGTTGGTCCTAGAGTGAAGATTGAGGAGAGGTCAATCAGCAAACAGAACAACTCAGCCCCCTCTGTAGACCCTTTGTCCTCCTCTTCAGCACTGCGTGTGCAAATCCACCCTCACCAGAGTGCACAGCCAGGGTCAGGACGCAGTGCAGGCCAGCGAGGCCTGGATGCGGAAGCACAGGCTGCGGTCTCTGCTCCTCCCCTCCAGGAAGGTGGCTGACTGCCCCCCACCCCAGCACAGACCTGCTCGCTGTTTCCACTCAAATGAAGTGCGCACATTAGAACCAAAATGCCGTTACTTCACCAATACCAACCTTTCCTTTTCTCCTTTTGCTGACCTTCCCTATTTCCTTTCCTGGGAAGGAAAAAGTGAATCATACCTTTTTTTTTTTTTTTTTAAGAGAGAGAAAGAGAAAAACCAATTAAGTCTTCTGTATAAAGTGCTTTGCTATTCCCTGGACTCAGCGATGTTCCCTCTATCTTCTTGGCTTCCAGAAAATGCCTGAGTGCCAATGAGGTTCTGCCTGGGCCACAGCTGCCTGCAGAGGACAGTACAGTCCCAGTGGCCTTCCCCTTCCACAGCCTCAATGACCGACCAGTTAACACTGAGTAATTGTCAGGTGCAGCTCGAGGTGGCAACTCCTCCTTTCTCAGTCTTACCCACCCTCCCGCCTTCTCTGGTTTTTCCAGCTTAGCAATTTACCCCTGTCCAGTATCCCAACTTCCCCAAAATTTTAAAACATTAGGTTGGCATGGCTTTATAATAAAACCACATATTCTTCAGGGAGAGGGACAAAGGTTGATACAGAGTAAAGATACTCAAGCTTTAAACGGAGGGGTTAGAAGTAAGCAATTAAGCTGCTTTTCTTCTCAAAGATCTATTGGTAACTGTTCTCAAATTATGAGTGACAACTCCCTGAAGCGTTATTTCCCAACGTTTTTTTTTTGTTTGTTTGTTTTATTTTTTTAATATTTTATTTATTTATTTATTTGACAGAGAGAGAGAGTGAGGGCACAAGCCAGGAGACAGAGGGAGAAGCAGGTTCCTCGCTGAGCGGGGAGCCTGACATGGGACTCGATCCCAGGACCCTTGGATCATGACCTGAGCCGAAGGCAGCCGCTTAACCAACTGAGCCACTCAGGCGCCCCTTTCCCAACGTTTTAAATCTGTGACATTCCTGTCAGGTCACAGTACAGCAGTAATTCTCAAGATTCGGTCTTCATACCAAGCAGTATGAATCACCTGGGGAGCCTATGCACATACAAGGGCTGGAGGCCCACCTCAATGGAACAGTCAGAAGCTTTTGAGGGTGAGACCCATGAATCTGCATTTTCACAAGCCCCTGAAGCTCCTTAACATTAGAGGAATTTTGCAGAAGGTAGTGAGAAAGGAACTCCTCATCCCTGCCTTTCTACCCCTCACAGTCATGCCCAAGCATTGGTCTAGTCCACTCCCCACCCCTCTCAGAATAATTTGTGTACGTGGCCTTCTCATCTCTTTTTGATGGTTCTCATAGGTGTATGATTTAGGGGGTCATCTAGCTCATTACAGTTAGCTCTTCCTAAAAGTACTCTAAATTTTGAACCTTTCATGTTCCTTTTTCCCCAGTGAAAAATATATCACCTCCCTCCCATTCACTCAGGGATTCTGCTCTCAAGAGTCTACGTTTTTCTGGGGACACCTTGCTGGCTCAGTCGGTAGAGCATGTGACTCTTGATCTCAGGGTCCTGAGTACAAGCCCCATGTTGAGGGTGGAGGCTACTTAAAAATAAAATTTTAAAAAATATTTTCTTAAGATGGTATGAATGACTGATTGGGCACTGATTAGGTCTAGCCTACCAGGTGGGAAAAAAGAGGTCTCAAGTATAATGTGAAGGGAGAAGGTGGTAGAACCCGGAGCCACACCTGACTTGACCACCTTGTCCTGTGTGTCGAACTGCATAAGGTCACAGGCTGTCCCCAGTGAGTAGAAGGCCCGGCTCGGTGGAATGAGGAGTGGCTGTACACTGGGTTTTGAAGCAGAGGTAACACCACTCCCCCCCCACCATCCCAGCTTCTCCTGTATCCCTAGGACCCCTTGAGGCACTATGGGGTCAGAGTAGGACTTTCAGGCCCTCCTTGTGAAGGCTCATCTTTATGTGTAATTAAAATAGCAAAAAGGCCACTTGCAGGACTGCTCATTAAACAACTTTGTAAGAGCAAAAAATTGGACACAATATAAATGTCTATCAAAAGGAGTGGTATGTGTGAAGGTTAAAAAGCTATACAGCAAATTCTAGTAAATGGTCAGCTCTTGGAATTATGGATGGGGGACAGGACTACTTTGTCTTTATACATTTTCTGTGATTTGACTTCTTACAAGGAACACATATCTATTGTTATTTTTTTTAAGTAAAAAAAATTAG